AACTGTCGACCTTCCGATCTCTGTGCTACAAAACAGAACCTGCAAGATTTTCACAAACGACATTGTTAAAGTCTTACAGCGTCGGAGAAAACAGAAACGAGATCTCTCGTTCATGTAATACATATATATACACGGAACAATTCTATACCCTTTGCGCATAAATCTCCGGATTTTATGAGAATGGTTTTAAGTACACCATACCTTGTCTCTGACCAAACCACCAGATGTGAAAACACCAGCACTTTCTAAAGCCCGGAGAACCTTTTTCTGCAGTGATAAGCACGAAATCTTGAGTCGAGAAACCCGTTAAGTTCGTAAGAAGGAACGACTAAACGAGCATTTAATGCTATTAGAAGAATATGCATACATTGCCCACGTTCCCATTAAAGAAACCACCATCTGAATCTAACCGGATAAAATTGAAGGGAAAGCTTTGTAATATCTAGAACTGTTTGTTGTCATTTCCAACGTGCATATATAAGACGTGAGATACAGTCTTTAATGCTTCAAGCACATTCTCACACGTTATGATGTTTCCCAGATCATAAAATTTCCTGTTGCCGAGAGAAAGTGATTATGAATGAGATTGTTGGGCCATGGCATGGTAAGAGCGGAAACAAACGTAACACCCAACAGAAAACATGGAAGAGGCTGTGTTACTCACTTCACTTTCGTCGTCAACAACTCTTTCCATGAGATAAAGATCACAGAACTTTGTAATTTCCAGAAGTACTTCCAGCACGGAGGATCGCACTGTTGCTTGTTTCTGTACAAAACTCGGTAGAATCAGGTCAAAGTGTATCTATCTATCACACGTTATCTACATGGAGAAATTCAGATGAAATATATTATAACTTACCTGGAGTTCTTCCGGAGTTGTTTGCTCAAGAATCACTCCAACAAGGCGACATGTTACCTGCAAAAGCATAATAGACAAGGATGAAGCTTAACCCAAGATTTTTTCAGAAAGGAGAAAATTTGGCCTGTTCGCTTCCACCAAGAAGTCGAACTCGTGTTTTTTCCCCTAAAAACTATGTCAAAATGAAGTAAGCGAAAAGAAACATTTTCATAATTTAGCCACAACTATCTGAAACTCTTGGAGAACACACCAAAAAGTTATCTAAGAACCATCAAGAAAGGTATGCCACCATGGACGTGTTGTGGATCACACAGGTAGATCTACACGTGAAAAGATTATTTATATATACACACACACATATAAGAATCGAAGCTAGAACAAAATTTCAAGACAATATCACAGCCAATTCTCAAGTACCTTCCTTCCTTCGCTAAGTTTCCGCCTGACTATTTGGCCCAGGGTCGGCTACACAAAAGGCAGTAAAATATTTAAGAACACTCCCAAAGGAATCGATATTCTAGCAAATTAATGTGGTAAGACAATCACAAATTCTGGAGAGAAATAAAACTTACGTTTACAGGTTGAAAAAAGTCGTCAACCACATTTTGCACTCCCATATACTCATGAGACGAAGAAACATCAGGCGGAATGGATGCTATATTTGACTGAGAAACAGCAGAAGAACTTCCAGCAGTCGATACCCTCCTCTTCGGTTGCCTTCTTTGCTGCTCCCCCGGAGTTCTTATCGCCCTCCAGGTGAAAATTATAGCAATGGCAAGCCCCGCAATAGCACCAACGGATCGTGAATCCTAATCCCAATCCATGAATAGTGAAGAGAAAACAAAGAATCAACTCCAGATTAACTAAGTACTTATTGAATTCAATACCCAGCAGTCAAATTGCTTTCCTTGCTCCTGGTGAGCTACATCAGTTAGGAATGCTATAACAGTAAACTCTTCTCTCAGTTTCATAACACTATTTCTTCAACTCTTCGATTGGTAATAACAGCTAAATAGATTAGACCCTCGATTGAAGAACTAATAGCTTAATTCGCAATCTCTTGTATAACCTATAAAAGCTTCCTACATACCTAAACCCACAGATCAAGCGCTTTGCTTCATCAATCATACTAATCACCGAGTAGACGTTCGATTGAAGAACTACTATCTTAATTGGCAATCTCTTGAATAACGAAATGCTTCCTAATTTCCATAAACCCGCTTATCAAACTCCTCGCTTCATTGATCACACTAATCACCGAATTAATCAGACAAATAAAGCTGTCCCAAGCATAAATTCCAGCATTTATGGACGGGACCCAAAACAGCGTTGCCGCCATTGCGAACCAGAATCGGGTCAGATCCAATCCCGAAACCATCGACGGAAAAGTAAAAGCATCAATGAAATTGGAGAGAAATATAGAGAGATCGAGGAAGAACCAGATTTCGAAAATACGTAGAGAAGAGGCTGGACATCTTGAAGGTGACGTAAGCCCCTAGCCGCTTGATCAACCTGACCAGCTCCTCCGTCGGCGACGGCGAAGATGACGACGAGGATTCCGCCATAGCCGTCTTCCCGCCTCCGAGACGATTTTGAATCAACGTCTTCGCCTCGACGAAGATTGTATCGTCAGATTCTTAGCTTCAGCTTTCGATTTTGAAGCAGCCGAGCGAACGAGAGAGAGACGACTCCACCGCGTCGAAAAGGGTAATCTCGTCCTTCTCCGATTAAACAACTAGGCAATGTAGTCCAATGATAATACGGCACGTGTCCTATCCATACGTGGCTCATGTAGGCGTACACTGTTTACCGTGCGGTGCGAAGGAGCGGATCTCAGAGGCAGATGAAGGAAACGGTGCGTTTTGTTGATCAGAAGAACATCGTGATGTAATAATCCGAATAGAGTTGGGAATAAAATTAGAAAATTGACTTCAATTTGATGTTTTTAGTCCGTTTTTGGTCAATTACATGTAATTAAAAAATATATGTTTTATGTATAAATCAAAATAAATAAAATATTAAACCTCTGTTTGGAATCTTATGGATATTCACGGATTTACACATCTTAAATCCCCCGAGCCATTTGGGGGTTGGGATTAGGGTAATAGACAGATGAATGCATATTCTTAAAACACAAAGCTATGACTTTGTACACTTTATTATGTGTAACATTTTTTAAAAAAGATGGCCAACATCGTACGACGTTGGTAATCACCAAAGTTAAAATTGAATAATAATAACAATAATAATAATAATAATTAATTTAAGTCAGACAAATTGCATGGGATTCTTTGCCTTTTTGACCCACCTCTTGAATCTTGTATTCTGCTCAAATATTCACTTGTTGCAATACAATATTAAATATTTTACGTCACTCGTATACTCACTTGTGAATATTTGCAAGTGCTTTTCGGAATAATTATAAAATTGTCCGAACAAAAGACATTTGACAGTTGCATACCACCACCCACTTAACTTAAAACATAATTCACTGCATTTACATCATTATTTTTTTAATCTTATGGTTATCATGTGATGATTCATTCCATAAACAGCTAATGTGTGGTATGTCTCTAACAAAATAAAGAAATATCAGAACATAGGATCTCATATTACAAATATTTTTTTTTTAAAAAAAAAAAGAATTACACAATTTCGTTACAAAATTTAAAAAAAAAAAACACTACGAATCACAATAAATCAAAAGTGGGAAATGAAAACAAAAAATGGCGAGAATTACGAAGTGTCTAGTCGTTGACCAGCTTGGCATCCACAGGGCCGGGAGAGCTGACGACGGAGGCCGGAGGGTTTAACGGCGGCGGAGCAGCTTCTGTCCCCGTCTCCGGCGGAGGTGGAGCGGCTGTTGTCCCCGTATCCGGCGGAGGAGGCGCGGTGACTGTCGTAGCCTCCGGCGGGGGAGGCGAGAATTGCGGAGGAGGAGGCGAGCTAGGGTTTTGGACCGATGGGCTTGGCGGGTTCTGAGCAATTGGACCCGACGGAGCCGGTGGGCCCGGCGGAGAGGGCACGAGGTCAGGCGGATTCGGGCTCGGGAAAACGGTGGCGGGATTAGGAGTTGAGAAGGGGGATGAGGAGGAGGAGGAGGAGGAGGCGGAGGATGAGCAGGAATCGCCGGAGCAAGAGCTGTTCCGGCGGCGGAGGACGCCGAAGCCGACGACGAGACCGACGACGACGAGAACAGTGACGATGAAGATGAAGATCTTAGTGGCTTTCCCGACGTAACACAGCATTGTCGCTTTTCTGACCAAACTCTCGTTTCTCTGTCTTTTTTTTTTCTGTGTTCTTTTTCTTTCCCTGACAGGATGCAGATGAGATGGGATTTTGAGATCTCTTTCATCTTCTTGTCACTGTTTTTTTATGTTCTGTATTTTTATTTTATTTTTTTGTTCTTTATATTATGTGTGTGTATATATATATATATATATATTGCCATTCTTTTTATGGGTTAATGATATTTTTTTTACCCCAAAAAAAAACTCATCGGAGTGAAGGATAATGAGACATGACCTAATAAAAGCTAAGATGGCCACGTGAATACCAATATTTGTTACATCAATTTTTTTTCTCTTCTTCAATTTATTTTCCGAATCGGTAAATGAATAATTGAGACAGCACATTTTCTTTTATCTTATAGATTATTAATAATATTGACTACAAACCATAACATTTATTATTAAAAAAATTAAATACCTCATTCCTCGTGGAGGGTATATTTTTTCCACTGAAATATGAAGGACTTATTATGAATGATTTTAAAACAAGTAAAAACACGGTAGATTTTTTTTTGGTTAGAGAACGAGGTAGTTTTAAATGACGTTTAACTATGAATAGTTATCTTTAAACTTTACATATTTAGACTAATTTTTATTTATATCTGGATCATTACACTAAACTGTAAAAGACTGATAAGAATAGAATTCGAACTTTTGATATCTAGTTAAAATATAAAGATGTTGAACGATCTATACCAATCCTTCAAGTTAAAACCCGATAGATTTTCATAACATGCAAAAACATATCTTTAATTTTTTTTTTCATTTTTTTTAGTTTTATTTCCCTGTTAATTATCTAAATGTCCGATGTTATTTTTTTTTATGAATGATATTAGGATATTTCGAATTAAAAGAGTTGTTCAACACATAATTTATCCGTTTATGCTGCATGCAATGGTTAAGCGATTGTTTTAAAAATTAAATTAACTGAAAAATTAAAAAATATATTTTGAAATTTATGAGAGGAAAAAAAAACTTTACCCACAGCAAAATCATCTAATCCTAAAAAAATTATCAAGGACTTAACAAAAATGATCATATTATTTTACCAAAAAAATGATAATATTGAATAAAAACCGATGGGGCTTTTAAAAGATTGTTTATTGGGATAATGAAAGATGATTAATACAATAATCCATTATTAAAGAGTAGGATTAAAACAATAATCACTTGGGCAGATGGAGGAATCTTTGAGAACCGAGCCCGACAGGCATGCTCGCCACGTCAGCCTTCAGACACTTTGTCCTTTAGAAGTTAAAATTGAATAAATTGGGGGGGGGCAAAGACCAGAATTAACAAATCTGGGGCGAAGTATTAAGAAAGGTGAGGTTGTTCGATTATAGTAATAAAAAGTTCGGGGCCAATGTGTAATGTTTTATAAACTTATGTCTCTTGTTTCGCAAATACCAATTTACTTCTGACAGAACTGCAAGGCAGGCCTGAATCCTACACAAAGTATGGAACCTTCATTAGACTATTTCCTAACTACATGAAATTGATAGCCCATAATGGCTTTTGCCAAAATATCATCAACTAGAACTAGTAGTTAGTTATTTCGAGTTCGGTAAGTTTGATTATATTCAAATTCACTTATTTGGATTATAAAAAATTATAATCATTCGAATTCTATACTAATTTTAATTTGGTTTTGATTCAATTTTATTATGGTTTGATATTTTTTATTGATAAAAACTCTTTTTTAAAAACAATTATCAATTATTTTACTCGATTTTTTCAGATTTAGATCTGTGTGATTTTTATCTCGTATTCGATTCAATTAATATTACACTTTAATCAATTCAACTCACCTATTCGATTAATAACCAAAATGAATACCCCCTAATATCAACACACAAGTTGATCAAGAGAGATTCCATTCATAACTTGTTCGAGTCCTTTTTCATGGCTTCCATTCTTGATCAAACGACTCTGAGAAAAGCTTCAGCCATTGCCAGGAACATCTGACATGCAAGACAAATCAACCCCAAATCTGCACAAGTCTTTCCTTACATTTTCATAACCTCATCACACCTTAAACCCCAAAAGAACCCAAGATTATTGACATTTTAACAAAGATTCTAAGGCAAGGGGAAACTGATTTACAAAGTTTCAAGTTCCAATTTTTCTTCATGGGCAAGAAAGAGGGAAGCTCTTTTCAATGCTCAGTGGAAGGAGAAGTCGTTGAATGAAAAAAAGAGCTCACGGCAAGACAAAAAAAGATCCTGCCTTGTCCACTGCCCTTCAAACACTTTCGTGTTCTTATCCTCATCACCGCATCAAAACAAAACAAAAAACACCCACCAGATCCAACATCAAAACAGTCAAAAAATGCCTCAGTGTGTGTAACAAATTCAGATCATTGATTCGGAAATCTCACTGAAATCCGCTAAGATTATTGTTTTCTCATCATGGGCCACAGAAGAAAAAAAACGACATCATTTTTTTTTTGTTTCAAGGGAGAAGGGAACACTCAGACAGCCAAGGGTTTAATCTTCAACTTCTGGGGGAGAAACCCCAGATCTGAAACTCTAGTCCACAATCCATTTGTTCGTCACCGCATCCCCTTCCATCCATTAATCACAAGAAACGAAGAGAACTACGCACAGGATTTATAAACAAAAAAAGTCAAACCCTAGAAAAACCTTCAAATCTCCAGAAGACGATAGAAAATTTTTACCGAGAAACGAAGAGATTTATAGAGAGAGAGAGAAGCTGATGGCAATGCAAAATTAGGGTTTTTCTCCGGCGGCTACTCGTTGTCTTTTCCTCTCTATTTTAGGATTGCATTCGGCAAAGGCCCAAAAACAAAATGGGCCATCTTAGAATTCAATTGGGCTTTTCTATCCATCCTGTGTACTATATTTTCATATTGGTCCCACCTCTAAAAGTTTTTAACCCGAAACCAAAACCGAATAATATACGGTACTAATTTGATAAAAAAAAAATTAAAATACCGAATAAACCGTTCTCGAATCAAATCGCAAAAATTACAAACCGAATCTCAAAACATTCACCCTTAATCCCACCTCCATTATTTAGGGTTCGACTGGTTATACCGCAGCGGTTGCGGTTGCGGGTGGCAGCGTTTTCAAAACGTTTGATAGCGATTATAAATGATTAATACTAACTGGTTGAGAAATTGCTGTTGGAAGCGATTGCGGGTAGATGCAGTTAGAAGTGAATGATTCATTACGGTTGCGGTTGCGTTTTGATATAAATTGTCAAAAAAAATACTATTTAAAAATAATTTTTTATAATTGTTTTAATTAAATTTTTCGTATCATTTGATAAAAATTATTTATTAAATTTATAATAATTAAATAATAAATTTAAAATATAAATATTATCAATTTAATTTATTTTAACCGCTACCAAAACGCAAGTTGGAAGCTGCGATTAGAAAACACAAGTTTGGTTGCGGTTGCGGTTGGTTGCGGTCTAGCCAGTCAGTTTTTTAATCGCCCACAACCATCGAAAATCGTAACCGTTCCGTTTGCGGGTAGCGGCGGTGCAATCAGTCGCCCCCTTATTATTTTGAGAAAAAAAATGTCCCCCAAAAAAATCAATGTTTTGTATTGATTGAAGCCAAATTTACACCATGCCAATATGGTACCATGTGACCATGCCCATATATATATATTGATTTATTTAGGATACATAGATCCATTACAGCACAAACATAAATAAACAACTTAAATAATTGATCAGCTCCCCAAGAAATTAAAACAACAAGAACAGAAACAACACCAAAAAGAACAAGAACTAGAAGAAAGTCCGTTAACGTCCCAAACTCAGCTGTCGGCGACGGAACACCGCGTCCTGATGACGCCGTTAGATCCTGTCTTAACATTGATCCTCCCCATCTTTTCCATCGACCTCCCGAACTCCTTGTAAAACTCCTCCACCGATCCACTCACCAAGTCGTTGACCGTCTTCAAGGTCGCAGAGTTCGTCGTCAGGGCAGAATCCGACTGGAACAGGCCTCTCCGCTTCAGAAGGTTCCTGTAATAACCCAGATCGAACGTCTTCCGGCTCCCCGGATCCATCTCGACGATGGTGGAGTTGTCGTTGATGCTTCTGCATTTTCTCGCCTTCAGATTCGATGCGTATTCGCTGTCCAATGAAGGGTCTTGATCGAGTCGTCCGGTGAAGTTGTAGAGACGAATGTTGAACGATGAACAGTGCGATACTCCTATCGTGTGGGCCCCTGATTCCATTTTTTTTTTCAAGAAATTTGTCACTTTGTTTTTCCTTTACTATAGCATTAAATGGTTAGAGTTTTTTTCGGATTTTCGAATCTAAAAAAGAAAATAAAATCTAATGATGATTTTGTATATTTACTTTTACTAAAAACCCGAAATTTTTTTTTATTACGAAAGTTTTGTTCTGATATTGAAATATGGACGACGAGTCTTTTAACGCTGAATAATGTGACACTGCATTGAAATGGCGGAGATTAAAAAAACAGTATCATTTATAAAAATGGTAGCGAAATATATAAATACAAATTACCAAAACAAAATTATAAAAACAGATAAAATCAAAATCCAAGAAAGCATCTCCTAATGTGTGATTTATGATAGAATAAATTTAATTAGGAGAACTAACCGGAGAGAAGGACAAGATCTTTGAGATCGAGGCCTTGGTTACCGAAAAGACGTTGCAAAGTGGTGAAGTTACTGGTCGGAGGAGGAATGTTGTTCAGAGCCTCCGTGGCGTTCGAGATTCTCCCGTCTCTTCTTCCTGTCGGAACTCTCCATGATGGACCTCCCTTTTTTTACGCACGTGTAAATATAAACTTTTAAGTGTGTATATATAATAAACCCTAATTTACACAAGATGTTAACTCCCACTTCGGTTTTTCAATTCGGATTCAGTTTGGTTTTATAAAAACTATAATACTCATCGACTTCGGTTCAGTTTGGCTCATTTTCGATTTTTCCAGATTTGGATAAATCATAACCATTCCATTCTTATATAACATGCCTTAGTAACATGTCTCCAAGTTATAATGTATTGGTTTATAAATTAAGGTACATCTTATAAGGCTCTACGTGTTTTCCATGGATTCTTACAGTGGCGACAATGGAGTCTCTTGCCGCCAAAGCAATGACATCGGCACACGACACAGTCTTAGGGCACGCGGCTTCCAGAAGGCTCTTGATTCTCTCGATGAAATCAAATCCTCTGAGCGTAAGATTCGGAGTCGAATCCTTCTCCGCGTTCCCAGACGTCGAGTTTATCAGTACCGACCCATCACATCCCTGCTTCAAACGAACCTTGATTAGGGTTTTCCATTAAGAAACACACACACTGACACATATACATATACATATATATATATGTGTGTGTGTGTACAAACCCTAACGAAGCAATCGTGGAAATGCATTCGAATGAGGGTAGCGGCAAGAGACGGAGCGTTATAGATATGCTGATGAACGTAATCCGACACGATCTTCTCTGCCTTCGGACAGCTCCTCTCGTAGAAATTCATCTGAAGTTGCGCCTCGGACCATCCCGCCATAGCCAACACCGCAATCGCAACCAAGAATCTCTCCATCGTTTTCATGCAATCTTTTTTCTTTTTGTTCTACAAAATTTTATCTGTGACGTGGTTATGCTGAATGATTTGTTGCAGATAGAGGACACGACAGGACAAGGGTTGCTTTTATAAGTCCAAGAACTTGTGAACCTCCATGATTAATGGTAAGTTTACGTCAAAAAAAAAAAAAGAAAAGGTAAAGTTGATGCCGGAGAAGGTTCTTTGTCGATGACTTGCATGAAATTATATCATGTGCTTAATGATTACTTTAATTTCTTTCATTAATGTAAAGTGGCATAATGATTGAAATGGTTAATTATAAAAGTATTTCCCTCGGGGAAATTAGAAAGGGTTTTTATGCTTTACATGCACGCATCGAGGTACTATATGTATTAATGTATTGGCTTTTGTGTGACATAAAAAAAAAGGCTCGTGCTTTTGTGAGGTTGGAACTTGGAATTATATTATAATTACAGAGTATATTTTTTTGATAAAGAATTACAGAGTTTATTAATATAGATGCGTTAGAAATTCGGTTATATTGAAAAAAACTTTTAAAGTATGAATGCATGTTTACTTATACATTTGTGCAGGCATAAATTTATATGTATATCCACATAAACATACGTATGTATACATGGATGCAATATCGCGTTAACATATATAACCATACGCACATAAAAAGGGGCAACTTCTATTATACCTTCTATGTGCTACATCAACATCCACTCATACCCTCATCCTAAAAAAAAATTCCAACTTCTATAATACCCTCTTTAATACACAATGACTAAAATATCCTTAATATATTATATTACATAATTTTTTTAATAACAAATATTCCTCCTAAAATGTAGGATTTTTCTCTCTCCTCCATCTTTCGTTTCTCTCTCTTCTTTTTTTGAGTTTCTCTCTCTTGCCACTCTCTCTCATCAAATTTGGTCACCCTCTCTCCTGCATTTTCTCTCTATTCTTATTTTTTTCATCAAAATCGCTCGAAATCAAAGTAAAATCAGTAAAAAATTAGTGAAGAGTTGGAAATAAATAATCAATTGCGAAAATCTTATTGTTTTTCATATATATTGATGGTTGTGAGGGTTATTTTGATGAAGAATTATGTTTTTTCCACTTCTTTTCTTCTACTTGGTGATGTTTGTGAAGTTTTATCCTTTGTTGTATGGTATTGTCATAGATCTGGTACGGATGGTATCAGATTCGCATGGTCACATGGTACCAGGTTCGCATGGTCACATGGTACCAGATTTGCATGGTCACATGGTACCATGTTCACATGGTCACAAGGTACCAGGTTCACATGGTCACACGATCACATGATCTCCATAATAGTCGGATTGATAATAATGGTCACATTGATTTAAATTAAATGGTCGAATGGTAATAATGATCACATGTTACTATGTTCATATGATCTCATAGTCACATAGTCAAAAATGGTAATAATGGTCACATGGTCACTATGTCCAAAATAGTCGAATTGATCTGCATTTTGTATTTATATTTTCTACAACTATTATAGACGGACGAGATGAGAGATCGACAATTGTATATTTTCTGTATGATGGTAAATGGTTGATTAGGATAAAATTGTATCCCTTAGAAGCCGTACAAGGATAATGAATAAGAATAGAGAATATGAACGAGAAGGAAATGTGATGAAAACCAAAGAGTGTTGGAAGTTACTGGATCCGACTGTAATTGGAAGTTGCGTACGACATTGATATTAAACTCGAAACGTTGGAGTGTAAGAAAATACAATCTCATGCATAGTTGCAAACTCGTATCAGAATTTAACAAAGCTATGAAAGGTACAAAGAAATTGGAAGACAAATAAAAAAATGAGAGACCTAAACAAAACCGCTTTTCAGGTCCTAGTGAAGTCCAAAAGCGGATCTATGTCACAATAAGAGTATCAACATCAACAAAGTTTGAGAGAAACCCTAATTTTGAATGAATAAAGAAATATAAATTGTATAATAATGTTATATTATATTTGTACACTAAAACATTAAGACCTTTGTATAATAATGTATTAAAATAATGCGTTATAATACTTTGGTTCTATTCTACAAATTAAAAAAACAGTAAATAATTTATCTCATATGAGTAGTGGTTGGGTCCCATGTGACCAGCATGTGACCAATGTGACCAATGTGCAATTTTACACTATGTGACCATTGTGACCGGATGTGACCTGTGACCAAGTGACGAAGGTAAATACAGGTGAAAACATAATTTTCAAGCTTTGGTATGTTATTATAAGGTATAAGGAACATAAATATTATGTTGATGACAAAATTACAAAACATTAAAACGAGTTTGTAATATAAAAAGACCAAAATTGTCAAAAATCTTCATAAAAGACTATGAACACTAATGTATCACATTTGTGAGAACTACTTTTGCACACAAAATTCGAATAACTCAATTATTATAGTTAAATATAGTTCACAATGGTGCATAAGGAAGATGTGATGACATTCAGATCGATTCATTTGAAAGAATCCACTAACTCGACCTTTGTGACCAACTGTGACCAACTGTGACCCATTGTGACCGAAATATTGTGGGTCCCAGTTTGAACATGCAATATTTTTTGTGGGGTCCAGTGTAATCCAAGTGTACAAAAAAAGTTATGGTTGACGTGGAATCCAACATTTTCAACCCATATTTTTTAGCATCCAATATTTTTTGGCCCAAATTTTTTCCCTCCAAAATTTTTCAATCTAAAATTTTTACCTTTCAATAATTTTCACCCCATATGTTTAGATATAAAATAAAAATAAAACATTATATCATAACACAAAATTCTGTAGATTTATAATAAACAAACAAAAGGTCATAACAAAAAGAAATAAGTACATAACATAAATAAGTTCTTGATTCTACTTCTGAACACTTCCATTAACAAATATGGTGGCTGTCAACTGCTCACGCATCTTGGTGACATTGTCATCACATATAGTTGTTGTTCTTCTTAACCTTGTCATTGTTCTTGTTCTTCTTCTGCTCGCTCGTCTTCTACTTATTCCTCATCTATCAGACTTTTTCCCTTCTTCTTAGAAAACTTTCTCGAACGAATTTTCAAGTCATGAACTCGACGACGTCAATTCCTCCAAATAAAAAAGAAGTGATTCTTCAAACGTTTCTTTATTTATCATACCCTTAATTTTCTGAAAATAGATGTGACTTTATGTTATTATATTCAACCAAGTGACCATGACACCAACAGACTATGTGATCATGTCATCAAGACACCATGTGACCATGTGAGCATGGTACCTGTGTCCATATGAACATGGTACCATGTGACCATGTCAATATGGTACCATGTGACCATGTGAATATGGTACCATGTGACCATGCCAATATGGTACCATGTGACCATATGAACATGGTACCATGTGACCATGCCAATATGGTACCATGTGACCATGCCCATATGGTACCATATGACCATGTGAACATGATACCATGTGACCATAAAACCTGTGACCAAGTGACCATGCGTGAGCTAAATCATCCTATAAACTGTGATATTTTCACTTTGTGACCATACAATTATGTGACCTAAATCAATATATCATTGTTCACCCAAACATCGACCCATACATCCATATGACCCAAAACTTGAAATTTTACATTACAATCGATTACTTAACTTCAAACCCAAAATCTATTTTGAAATCTTAGGAATTTCAAAAAACATAACCCTAAGTTTCTATCCGTCAAATCTCAACCCCAATACTTCAACTTAACATTAAATATTGCCAAAATCCAACAAATCTCACAAAAAAAAGAAGTAACCTACCACATGTTCGTCTAACTCTGCAATTCGTATTCGGTTTTTGGTCTCGGTCGAAGATGCCGATGAAGTTGAATATTGGGTTGATGTCGAAGCCATTTTTTGTTGTCTTCTTCGATTCTTCTTCTTCTTTGAGTTTTGAGTCTTAAGAGAGTTAAAGAGAGAAAGATTCTGCAGAGAAATCGGATTTAAATCTGTAAGATATCGACGATTTCGATAGAAAAAGAGAAGAGATAGTGAGAATTAGGAGAGAGAAGGAAGATCATGGGGTTGAGCTAGGAGAGAGAAAAGAGAGAGGGATCGTGAGTTTAGGAGAGAGAATATAACCTATTTTTTTGTTTTCTAATTTTTTAAATTGAGAGAAAAGATTTTTTTGTCTTTCTTAACTTTTATAAGGGCTTAATTGTCTATTAAATTGTTCAGCACTTTTTTTTTATTTCGATTTTGGAGGGTAGCGAGAGAAGTCAATGTAGCACGTAGAAGGTACTTTAGATATTTCCCCACATAAAAACATATACTCATACATATGTGCATATATGCATACAAAACTATATATACGCAGACACGTACATACCTACACACATATATATATGCGGTTACATATACATATACACACAAACATATACACGTATATACATAAGGGTCCGCGTACGCACATACGTACCGTCAAAGTTATACTCGTATAACCCATCAGATCGTGGACGAGTGGTCAAGCTTGGGGTAGGAGGTAACTCCACCTTGAGGTTGAGTGTTCGATTTATGGGTTTATATGATCCATATACAAAGGCTGCTCCCGGGCCGGAGGTTTACCTAGTCAGCTCGCCCGAAGGGTAGCAGTTAGGAGTCCTCCGTTATAAAAAAAAAAGTTATACTCGCATAATACAATTTTTTTTTTGTATACGTTGGAGAATCCGCCCTACGTCTCTTTGGATCGGACCCCGAAACGTCTCACAGTCCTCTTTGAAGGGCCGGACGAATGTCATCGCGAACAGTAAACATACATGGCCCTAGCAACAATCGAAAACCACGCAGAACAGGTAAACTAACCGAAACTGACCGACTCAGAGAAAACTTGATCCAACACATTGTGGAAGGAGGGATAGTCGTTTTCCCCGTATAATACAATTTGCATTATAATTTACGAGAATTGTAATGCAATACGTTTCCAAAGCAAATGTGCATTCGAATTTTAATTAGTTTATGCGTGATTTTTGTGATAATTAGGCATTATTTTATTTGGAAAATAATTAATGTGAAAATGCCATGCCACCCGTTTTTTTTTTAATAAATTTGAAATGACTTGATTCGATTAATAGGAGAAAATGAAATTGGTAACATTTTGATTTTAAAAACCAAAGAAAAAGAAACGAACAAAATGAAATGAATAATAATATTTTTGTACCACATGCTTTTACAAAAGGCACTTTTCCTTTGATTCGACACTAAGAAACGGTAACAAAAGGGAGGATGCTTGACTCCTAATAACAAAAAATAATATTTTTAAAAAATTGCATGAAATTCACATTTTGAGAAATTGGCCCTCTTTCAAAAAGCATAAATATTATTTACTATCCGAACTTAAATAATAACAATTTAAACAGAGACTATTTGATGGTATCTTTTTCCATCATCTACTGACTCCTCACCTAATCAAAGGGCCCTTATTGACATAAATTTCAAATGTTATTTTTACAATGATTAATATATATTCAAAATCATCTCAGATATTTTTGAAATCATGTGTAAGATATAAAAATTGCGAAACCTCGACACTAAACAATTTAATTTATAAAACTGTAACGTATATATTGTAATATTATCAAACTTCGTAATATTTTTATAAAAATTATACTAATAGTTACGAGAATAAAGATAGTGATCCTCATACTAAAATATATGTTATCTTTTCACAGTAATATAATTTAAAATAACATATTCAAATTTAAGCACTTCAATTATAACAATTTTTAGTTATAAAAAAAAAGTATAACAATTATTTGTTATTATTATTATTATTATTATTATTATTATTATTGTTATTATTTTTATTATTGTTATTTTGGGGGAATAATCTCTTTAATCATTTTTTTCCTTTTGTTTTATCAGTAGAAAACTAATTAAGCATAATGTACTACACACATAGGCTCTTATTGAGAAGGTAAAATTAAAAGCAAAAACTTCATGCCGACGGTCCATGTTCGATGCCGAAATAGTTACATTATGAGACTTTTATATTATTGCCCGTTTTAATATCCCATACTTGTTTACGAGTACTCGTTTATATTCTGATACTTTTCGTTAGCAACATATTAAATATCTAACTGCAATAAGATTGTTTGCGGTTCATGTCTATAGTTGGGTTGAAAATCTAGTAAAAATATTTAAATACAAAAAATATATATATTAAACATCATAGAAGAAAATTTCATGTAATATCAATACATACTCTTTCTTAATTTTTTTTTCCCGCTACCTCTCTTACCAACTTACACATTCTGTAATAAAAATCATAATAATCTACTGCAGTTTCACCACTCATGAGCTTATTCAATTTGTCTCTAACTTAAAAAAAAAATGCAAAACCAAACAGAATTTGATTCAAACAGAATTTAAAAAAAAAAATTCTAAAAAAATACTCTGGATTCGTTTGGATTTTAGTTTTATTTTATCCGTTTCAAAAAGAGCCCGGATATAAACATGGGCTCTATTATATATTATGTGGGTCAAAATCGGGCCCATAATTCATAAATATAGCCCATAAAATTACGATTCCCGTCGCACCGTCACCCATCTAGTCAAACGGCTCGACAGGTCTCGACCCCGGCCCGAGTCGCGCTCGACCTATTTTGATATGATCCGATCTCGCATTTGGCCCGAAAATTTCGGGTTTAGGTTTGGCCCAGCCCGAAATCAAGTCTGAAGTTCGACCATAATACTCAAGTTCTGACTTCGATCGGGTCGATCCATGTCGGTCCGATTTAATTCCTTACTAATGTGTAATTATACTTTTTTTTAACATTTACTTTTCAAAAAAAAAAATGGAATAGTTTCGAAGTTTGTAACACGATGCTGGAAAAAGTTTTAAATACTTAAAATTGCAATGTCGTATTATTTTTAGATATTAAGACATTTATTCCGACGAGTAAATATCCGTGAACATTCCTGTCGTAGAAATCTAAAAAGCATATGCTAAAAGATTCCTCTATCTCAGGAGAGATTCTCGGTCACGTCTCTAATGAACTTCCCCACAGCTGAATGAGAAGATCCGCCGTCCATTAGCGCCACGTGGCACTTATCTCTCATCTCCTTCACCCTCCTCCGCACGTCGCTGTCCTGCACCATCACACACCTGATCCCTCTCTCTATCTCCTCCGCTGTCATGAGCTCCGTCTCCGCCTCCGCCTCCATGAGATCTCCCCTGAAGCTATTCCTTACCTCCACCGCCAAACCCAGCTCCTCCACCATCTCGAACGCGTTGAACTGTTGCTCCGCGTAGAGCGGCCACATCGCTGTCGGCACGCCGTACCAGAGGCTCTCCAGCGTCGAGTTCCATCCGCAGTGCGACACAAACCCTCCGATCGCCGGATTCGCCAGCACCGCTGTCTGTGGGGCCCACCCGATGATCTTCCCGATCTCCGCCGTCCGAACCAGGAACCCCTCCGGCAGAATCTCATCGAGGTTTGTGAAATCTCCTGGGGGTACAAACGTCCCCTTCGGCGGCGCGCGGCGGAGGGACCAGAGGAACCTATGGCCGCTTTGCTCGAGTGCGACGGCGATTTCTCTGGCCTGGTCCTCTCGAAAACCTCCCATGCTCCCGAAGCAGAGGAACACTACAGATCTAGGCGGTTGTTTGTCGAGCCATCGTAGGATCTCCGATTTCTTCTCGTCTCCGGAATCTCCGCTGTCGGATTTGAGGTCTAGCAGCGGTCCCACTGCGTAAGCCGGTGGAGTCTCGCCGCTGGCGAGGAACTTCATCGCTTGGGGTTCGAGCTCCTCGAAGGTATTTACCAAAATACCCTTCGTCTCTCGAAATCTTCTGGTTTGACCTAGAAGAAGCGGGAGCCAGTCATTGCGTAACATAACCGAAGGCAGGCAGCTCACCGGGAACGGGCGAGTCAGACTCGGCACGTCGAGCTCGACAACCGAGTCATTCAACTCGTCGACGTTGTATTTGCCCTCGTCGTATAGACGCTGAATGTGAAGGCTCAGCCCGAGGAATCCAGCGTTGGACGTGTAGAACATGTAACTCGGGACGCCGAACTCGTCCGCGACGTCGATCATCGCCGTGCAGAACATGTCCACGACGAACCCAGCGAGTCGAGGCTTGTCGGGGCGGGTGGAGTCGGCGAGTTTGGCCACTGCGGCTCTTACCTTCGGTTTCTGGTTCTCGATGAAGGTCACTAAATTCGGCCTGGGGTCGGAGGGGGAATTCAATTGGTCGTCGACGGAGAGGACGTCGTACCGGAGACGGTCTTCGGACACGGCGGAGAGGGAGGCGATGTAGGAATTGGAGGTGCTGCCGCCGAAGATGGAAGGGATGATGACGACGGTGACGGAGAGACTGCCGTGGCGGTCAACGAGGAGCTTCGCCATCTCCACCGTTGACTTGAGATGACCTGCTCCCGGCGAAGGTACGAAGACAAGCTCCATTTTCATGGTCAATGGCTTCCTATGGCTGTGGTCGAACTTACAAGTGATAAGCTTCGTCGAGTGTGTTTTTTGTCGGGGCTTGTTCCGTGAGAAATGAACCATGTCATGTCACGTTAAATACGGAATCGTTTTTTGTCTTTGGACTATCCACATCAAAAGATCGGTCAAAATGTTCTGGTCGAACCGGTCCGACCCAAAGATTTACGAATTAGACCGGTCAGATTCAAAATATTAAAGGGTTGGTATAGATGATTTTGTTTATTAGAGGTAAAGAGTTCCAATTATGCTCCTTTTAGACCATTCTTTTAATATTGGAAAATCCCAAATTTTTCAAAAAAAAATATTGAAATTTTTAATGACAAAAAAAACATTGAACTTTATTTTTTGTCAAATAAACATTAAATTTTTATTACGAATCTAAAAAAACACTGAATTTTTTAAGTGATTCAAAAAATACGTGAATTTTTTTACAATTATAAAAAAACACTAAACATTTTTAGTGATTTAAAAATATACATGGATTTTTTTCAATTGTAAAAAAAAAACAAATAAAATAATCTGACGTGTTTGTGTCTCATCGTACCACGTTAGTCATTTTGTTTATTTTGACAATTGTAGAAGAGTTAAGTGTTTATTTTGTCAAACTTAAAAAATTTAATGTTTATTTGATAAAATAAACAGTTCAGTGTTATTTTGGTCAAAATTTGAAAGTTCAGTGTTTGAGCCAAAGACGAACGAAAATTAGTATGAATGTATAAAGTTAAAAGTGTCGGTTAACAATTGAATGTTATTAATGATAATTCGTGGTCAGTAAAAAACAATTAGTCCACACAAACACACAACCATATTAACTAATTACTCTACATCCATATATATATATATATATAATATGAAAATATTAGTCGGATTGGATTGGACTGATTCGAACCCGTATTTTGACACATAGTGTTTTGGATCGGACCAACCCAATCCGATAGCCGAACAGACTTTAATTTTTATATCCAAAACCCGTAAATTTTATAGATGAGTTCGGACCAAATAGGACCAAGGGTTTATATTTTACACCCCAAATATACGGTATCTTTTGTGATAACTTAAGAATAGACAACTAATAATAGAGGTAGACTAATCAACCCAATTATTTGATTTGTCTAAATATTTTTGTCTCCGGTTCCGATTCTTGGGCAATTCTACTCTCTCGTTGTCTCCTTCTTCTCTGCTGGTCGTTTCAAAAAAATCGGAAATTAAATCTCTTGCCATTCTTCCAAGTAACCACCGGAGTTGAATGGTATACTTGCATCCACGTCAATATCGTGAAAGATTGAAGGTGCCTATTCTGACTCGAAGAAAAGAGGCTTAATTGGTAATAGAAGAAGAACTCAATCGGAATACGTCTCTTCTTTAAATTGATATTCACAAATGAAAAGTTTCTAACTTTTTTCCCAATTAAAGATGCATTTATTGACGATATTAGAAAAGGGCGTCAAGAACGATTGCAGCAATTAAAAAAAAAAAAAAAAAAAAAAAAAAATATTTGCGTCCGTATATTGTTTTTGGCCCTTTCTAATAGAAGACACAGAGTGCTCTACTTTCAGCTTAATGGGCCTTTCTTAATGGGCCGACTACTACGCCTCATCAGGCCTACTGGTGATACATATATATATATACAGACATTATCCATCTGCCTTGGAACAAGCATTTTCTTTTTTCTGTTTTTTAATTTATAGTAAAACACACGTATATATAGGAAAATGTCATTTTCCTATACGAATTTAGTAAAATATGATATTTTCTTACACAAATTTTTAATTTGACAAATTACTACACCAAAATATTAAATTTGCCAAATCGATACACGAATTAACCAATTTAAGTGTAATTAACTATACAATCCGAAATTCGTGTATCGATTTAGAAAATTTAATATTTTGGTGTATTTGATCAAATTAAAAATTCGTATAGAAAAATGTCACATTTTACTAAATTTGTATAGAAAAATATCATTTGACCATATATATATTATATAAATATTAAATCATAAACTAATATATTGAAGTTTGTTCAATAAAACAAATAAAAACGAAGAATTTTAATGGAGTAAATTTAGTTATAAATTTTTTTTAAATACCAGAGAAAATTCACTTTTCCCCCATATTAACTCTCACCAATTTAATTTTCGTCGAGGACATTACTTTTTTTTTTTTGGTAAGTGAGGACATTACTTTTTACTTTTTACAACCACATATTTTTTAGTTTATTCAAAGACAAATAATCATTTTGTATACCAGCTTGACGGTGAACCAAATAATGGAGACGCGGGCGAGTTCTACGCCCCCTCCTCTCTCCATTTCGTTTCAGAATATCCGACGGCTAAACCGGTCGGATTCCATCTTTTTTATGTACATTCGAGGGTTTCCGGAACATTCTAGAAATCGATAATGGGTTCTCCGATGTTGAGATTCCGCTCCACGGTCCATGGTAAGTCGAACAGCTTAGCCGTCACGAACTTGAAGATCTTGTTCACGTTTATGTTGTACGACGCACTCGAGAAGAATATCGTCGCGTTCAATGCCTTTGCGTACGCTCTCGCCTGATTGCATCAAAATCCGTTTTCAGATCCAAAAACGGATATACCAAAACGGGTTTTATTCGAGTTTTTACGATCTCGTTCCGGTTATTGGGGATTGGATTCGAATCAGTTACCTGGCTGGCGATTGTCCATTGCAGATCAATAGGGAGCTGGATGAACTCATCAAACTTGGTTCCTACCATAACCGGAATCGCTGTCTGCAAATAACAAACTTGTTACTATTTTTATACAAACTGAGTTCAATCTCAGATTCACTCTGGTAATGGAATCTCTAGCTTCTTCTTCTTCTTCTTCTTTTTTTACCTGATTCCACTTCCTTGCTTGCTGGTACCAGCTTATCACACTGCAAGATGCATACAACAACAATGGAAAATAGTTTCTAAATGATCAAATTTCCCTTAGTCTTGACGTTGTGTTTGTTCTAATTACGGGTACAATACATTGAACATGTACCTGTTGAGGGTACAACGGCTCGTGAGATCAAACATGAACAGAATGGCTACAGAGTCCTTGCAAGCCATGGCGATTTGATCCCTCGTTTGTTCGTCTCCTGAAAACATTTCAAACTAATCGTTACTGCTTAATTATGAACAATGATCATCTCGAGCTTAATGACGATTAATAGCGTAATACGTAATACGTACCTTGCAATTCCCATATACTGTATGAAATTCGAGCTCCTCCCACTGATAACGTCTTGTCCATTAGAATGATCCCTTTCTCTTGTGCTTTCTCCACCTCTTTCTCGTTACCGACGTATTTCGCCTTCAAATCGGTCAAAGTTCATCAGCTTTTTTCTCGGAATATCGTAAAAGTTCATGCCAATCGATTTCAGACGGATAAATAAAATGGAATTCACGCGATATCAGATCTGATTGAATGAAAAAAATGGTGGGAAATTTGAAATTCAGATTTTAACTCGAACTTAACAGCACTTTTATCTTAATTACTAACCAGAAAGCTAGATTTCCCGATCTGTGAATCTCCCAGGAGGCTGATCTTAAGCGAGACCAGATCGGAGTCGGATTTCCGGTAGCTGTCGTCGCGGCGATACACAGATGCTTCGCAAATGAACGGCGCACCGTCCGCTGCGGAGATCGTCGGAGGCGGCTGCAGAGGACGGGACGGAATCGGCGACGGAGCGGCGGGGGGGAGCAACAGGTAGCGACGGGACTTTCCGGGAGTGCAAGCGAGGATCCGATTCCAAAGTAACCGGGAGAACCTCCGGAGAATCAGAACCCGGCGGTGGAATCTATGGCTGAGATTGTCGAATCGGACGATTCTCAGGCAAGAATGATCCATTTTTTCTTCCGATTCGGTACAGAACGGAGGACCAAACAAAGAAAAAATCAGAACGAAGAAGCGATTTCGTAAGAAGAAAACAGAAATCTATGGGGAATTACAGAGAGCAGCTTCAAGAAGAAACTTGAAGGAGGATGGCCAGAGAAAGAACTGCTTCGTCCCGTTTGGCCATGAAAGAAAACAATGGAGGAGAACGCCAAGCTTTAGCTCCCGAGTTTTTTTTTTCCGCTCTCCTTTTTCGGGAACATGCATAATTAATTTAATTTAATTATTTATCTCATTATTTTTAAATTATATTTTTTTTCGGCCATAATGGTGGTGCGGACGTGAAGAGAGTTGACCAGTAAAATGACGTGCTGCCCGGTCTCCACGTTTCACAGCTTGGGGTATTATGGGTCATTTGGACTGCCCTTTTATCCCAAGAGTCAATTCCACCGTTACGAACCAAACGTTAGTCAGTTTTTATAAACGTTAGTCAGCTTGGGGGGGATTGGCATCGTGATCATGGTGATAGTTTTTATTTTTGACTTTTTTATTTTAATTTTTGGGGTTTTAGATTTTTTTTTTTGTTTTTTTATAATATTTGTAAAAAAATAGAGTTTTTGGTTTTTTATTTATTTTCTTATTATAATATTTTTAAATTTTATTTAGAAAAATTTAATTTATCAAATTTTAACATCAACTTTTTTATTTTTAGATTTTAAAAACTCCAAAAAATCCATCTATTCAATACTATATATATATATATATATATATAAAGCATTTCCATGAGCTCCACCACATGTGAACCCATGTTTGGTTGAATTATTTAAAAAAAAAGTTGGATTCTTGCAACTACTTTGTATTTGTTAAAAAAAAAAAACACAAGTTGAGGCGAATTTGAAAACAAAGTTCAAGATTCTCCTGGTCGCAATAATATTCTGAGAATAAAACCAACTCGTATAATATATGAAGCTTCAATGATGGTCCGCTTAAATAATGGGTTTTTATAATTGACACCCACGTGGATTTGAGTTTAAAAATAATAAAATAAATGAAAGAAAAACATAACAAATTAGAAAAAAAAAAAAATCATATAGAGAAAGGACCCCATCCAAAGACATATCTCCGACCAAGGTCGATACTATCCATTATTTTTCTGTACACGTATTAAGCTATATATTATATATATTATCTTAAGATAATTAATAGTGTTTTTCCCCTCAAAAGATAATTAATAGTTATATAATATATATTTTTCATGTACCGATTAATTTTGGAATAATTGAACTACAAACCTTTTCAACTGAATCAGAGGTTAACACGTGTTTAATTCCTCGGGGTTTTTCAAAGAAAATCACGTAACGTTTTTTTAATTGCTCTATTTGGTAAAATTATTCGTTAATTTAACAACGAAAATAAATTTGGGCTATCTAGTGTCAAGCCCAAATGATTATTAGAAAACAACCATTTAAATGGGCCTACATTAGAATTGGACCTAAATGGGCTGTTGATTTGGGCTACGTAGTATCGGCATGCATTCGTATAAGTATAGTTTCTGTATATGGGCTTCACATAGGAAACAAAACGGTGCGTTTTGCGGCAGCATTAAAACGTCGACGTTTAGGGCTTGCATAAAAGGTAACGTTTTGCGTGTGCTGAAGAAAGAAATCATACCAAAGATCAGACAAAGAAGCATCGATGGAGGACGACGCGCCGGCGATGGAGAACGGCGAGAACCTCATCAGCTCCTTCTGCGAGATTACATCGTCGTCGAGAGACGAAGCCAAGTTCTTTCTCGAGAGCCATCAATGGGATCTCGACGCTGCTGTCTCCACCTTCCTCGACAACGATCCCGTCTCTTACGCCGCCGGCGAGCCGAACCCTAGCGCCCATCAGCTTCCGCAGCCGTCTGCTCCTGCTCGGGCTTCGTCTCCGTCACATTCGCAGTCTCCGGGGTACTCTCCCTCGGAATCTTCGCCGTCGCGGTCGCGATCTCCGTCGCCCGATCGAGGCGCGCCGTACCTCCTCAGATCGAGGCGCGCCGCCTCGAAGCACCAGGCGGAAAATCCGGAGGGAAGCCGGAGGACTAGGAGCAGTCAGCGGAGTGGGAACATCCGTACGTTCACTGATCTGAACCG